TTAAAATTTTTAAATAAAAAAAATATATAAGTATTTGAAATAACTAGTGTAGAACACTTAAAAAGATAAAGAGGACCTAAAGAGAAACCAAAAAAAAAACCGACATACCAAACAGTGTACAAAAACAAACCAACAAACCACCTTCAGCGCCACATTAATTAAAGCTATTTAATGCTGCTTTATAAACCGAGAAATTTACAACGAATTTTAATCGAATAACCGCGTAGAAAGAAGAACAACAAAAAGAATATTGGCCTCAAGCAAGTGTAGAAATTTACACGACATGTGTGGCATACCAGCTAAACATAATTAATAAATTTATATCGAGCAGAATCTAATTAAACCGCATATTTGCAATAATTTGTGCAAATATTTGCTTCAAATGAGAATACAGTGCCTTCAACGAATAATCGTACACATTTTATATTCGAAGATATAAAAATAAGATAAAGGAGTTTTTTAAACTAAATTTTATTGTACCTACTGCTTTGTTTTTTGGTCAAATTTAATTACAAAAATAAAGAAAAAACCATATGTGTGGTCAATCTTTAATCAATTTTGGCTGCTTATAGAGATTCAGCGGAAGTCAAGTTTGTCCGACTATTTGTTGGAGCCACTGTACGTATTTCAACATGCGGCTAAGGATGATGAAACAAACGCAACATAAATTTCAGAAAGTTGGTGCAGAAGCTGTACCGAGAATATATTTTACAAAAAAACACAAGAAATCTTATTACACCACAAATGTTTACCTTTCTTCCTTTCAATTTGCAAAGCAAAATGAAGGTAACATTTCTACTATTTTGTTAAGCAGTATATAACTGTTGTTTTGTTCTAATTTTTACTTTTTAAAAAACAATGTAAATTTAATGTAATGTCAGAAAAAAATTGATTAAAAATACCGAAAAAGTTAAAGGAAACAACCAAACGGACGAAAATCTAGTAGAAAAAGTCCTGAAAAAATCTCGAAGTTTTGAAAAATTTTTTTTGTAATCCACTTTCCCACTTCGGCGCTTATTCCTTCTCGTTTATTTTATTTATTTATATGAAATATAATTGTTAATAATTATCACTAGCTTCTACGACTTCGACGCTTACTCATTCTCACGTAAAAAGTATGTACTTCAAGGCAGACGTTTTTGGACTAACCCATCACCGCTTTATACCAGTTTTAATCACTGTTGTTTTGTGTAGCCACAACTAATGAAGTTTCTATTCGAATTCAATTAATTAATTTAAGTATTTTGAAAATTAATGAAAGTATCAAATTTGATTTAGCGAAATGCATGCGTTGTATGATAAATACGTACGTATCTACATATATATATACAAATGTAGTCAGTATAAAAGATCACTGTTACACAAATTTAATCAATCATATTTTGATGAATTGTAAGTGTTTGTTAAGCGAAAAATTATACTGAATAGGGCAGCACCGAAATAGGTTTTTTAGGTTTAATCTCAGAAATTCGATCACTTCTGGTGGAAGCTCTAATTTCTTCTGGTGCTTTGTGCGTTTATTCAAAGAAAGGCTAGAAATAAGAGGATATGATATGTCCAATGCTCGATAAAAAAAACGTATGTCAAGTTATTCACACGGCTACTTTTTTATATAACCTTTGTTGGCAACTTTTTTCTGGACTTGGTAATATATTAATATTTTTTTTTTTTTTTTTAAATAAAAACATTTTCGTCCATTTTATAAGTGCAGGACGAGATGAAGTTTGTAGTTCATTTAGAGGTTGAAAAAAGTTTAGAGAAAAGTTAGTATTTTTTAACTTTAATTATAAATTTTTTAATGAAAACATTTGTTAGAAACTATTTCAAAATTCACTCAATCGTTATTTGATAACTCATTTACACATATAAGTACATAAATACTTTTTTTTTAAGTTAACTTTGGTGGTGTAGTGGTTAGCACAGCGCGCTACCACTCTGCAGGGCCTGGGTTCGAACCCAGTTCAAACAAACTACAAAAAAAAAAAAGTTTTTTCTAATAGTGGTCGCCCCTCGGCAGGCAATGGAAAGTAGAATGAAAAGTAACTTCTCATAAAAAAAAATAGAATCGCCGTTCGGAGTCGGCGTAAATTTTTAGGTCCCTCCCCTGTGTGTGACAACATCAAGGCGCGCGCCACATATCGGAGGAGAAGCTGGGCCAAACACTAACATATTTGTAAGCGCCAATCTTTATATTATTATTATTATTATTATTATTATTAAAAAACATTCATTTTGCAAAAATTTTAATTTCGCATTTTGACCAATAAAAAATACAACATTTCATACAGTGCAATGTGCCAAATATCATTGAAATACGTCCAGCCGTTTTAGCGTAAAAGAGCAACAAACATATTTATAATATTCACAGTCACATAGCTTATTGATTTTCTATTTTTGCTCCACAATTTGAAAAAATATGCAAAAACAATTTTATTTATTTTAAGTGATATTTCATATATCTAAACTTAAATTAGCTTTTAGTGAAATTTTATTCATGCTAATTTATGCTTGTTTTCTGCAACCATTAGCCAAATTGGAAAATATGAAAATTTGTATGCAAATTTAAAAGCACACAATATACAAATTTAGCATAAAATATTTACGGTATAAGTGTTTGTTAAATTTCGCATATACATACAAAAACACTCATGTGTACGAGTATCTAGTATGTATGTAGATAGCGCAAGGATTTACGCTTTGAATGCTGTGTTTGTTTACTTAGCTTCTGCGTAAAATATGTAGCATCCAAGGAAGAAAAAATTATTGCAAATTTATGTAAGAAGTCTAAGCGACAAAAATTTATTATTTCACATATTCTTTTTACAAATTATGGCAGTGTGTTATGTATGTACATACATGTGTGGTAGCAAGTGGAGAAGAAAATATTTATCTAAGGATTGCAACATTGTATATCGTTTGCTAAATGTTTACCTCTTTTTTGCGTCATGCATTTATTTTGAAGGTTAAAACTTGACAAGCTAAATGTGTGATACTTTCTAATGGCGTTCGTGTGGTCTTTTCATAACTTGCACTTGGAAGGTGTCGATCAATGAGTGAAGAAGGCCAATTACGTATGTATGTATATATACTTCAATGCTGTCATAACTGAAAAAAACCAAAAACTAGAGAAAGACGGCTTTAAAGTTTTGAATTTACAAATGAAAATATTTATGTTTACTCCCATACTGGTTATCGATAAAACTATTGGGGTATTCACAACAGTGTCGTAAGTGTGGTATTGTTGTATGTCGTAAACTTTAAACGCCTAAAAATTATATTAAGGGCGTTCGCAAAGTACCATCAAAGTCATATTATGCATTTTCGCAATGTTAAAAAATAGTTGGTTGTGGTTTCAAGTACTCTAAACATTTATTTAAGCTTTTAAAGTTGACGACATACAACAATACGACACTTACGACACCGTTGTGAATCCCTCATATGTAACTATTACACAACCTTAGCTCGATTTTTGTTTTTTGCTTATGACACTTTTCTGGTAATTGAGCGATATGTAAGTTTCCAAAGATTTTAAAAACACTTTAATTCAAATTGTAAAAAATTAAGAAATACAAATTGTAAAAAGTTAATTAAAGAAATTTTGTTCCCCAAAGACCTAAGGTAAACATCCACGCATCCTTATACATATGTATGTAAGTTGGTGGAGTACAAAATGCTTAATAAGTCGTAGTGAAAAGCTTGCATAAATTCTGTAAAAGATATGTGATATACTAAAAAAAAATATTTAAAATTTCAAAACAAATCAATATTTTTTTATCAACTTCCAGTGAATATGTGCTATTCAGATCCACTTGCGTATGGAAGATGGTTCCGTATGAAGAACTCCACGCATGTGGAGAAATGTAATCGCCATTCACCAGGGATTGGCCTGGAATAATTATTTTGCAGCTGGTTTAAGCAGCTCACAACGTCTGGTTTACACCAAGAGTCCTTTGGGTGACAACCGAACACCCTTTTGCGAGAGGCAATGTGAAAAGGCTAACTCCCAGCAATGAGTTGGGCTTCGGACTTCGTGCAACTTCATAGCTCAGAAAAGCACTGAACGGGGCAAGGCAGAAAAAAATAGGTTTTTGTGAAGACTACTCCAGCTGTCATGTCGAGTGTTGCAAATTCGGAAGGGTATTTTTGGTGAAAGAGATACTCCGTTGACGATAACTGATGTTCACCATGGTTAAAAATATTCTTGTCCCAATCCGCATCGAAACGAGATTCTTCAACATCTCGATTAGTTACGTCCACGCTCGTACAGAAGATGATGATAGGGCGACCAAATCCCAATTCTATGATCACTTTGAATGCAATAGCGAGACCTGGCCGGTTCCGATAACAAAATTGTCCGTGCACGGAAAGAATCTTTGGGGCCAACGAGGGAAATTTCTAGTATAAAGTGATCTTCTATTCGAAAAAACGAAACATTGCGAGCTTGTAAAGAGCTGAACAGGAAAGCGAGATGTATGTTCCGCAAAATAGATAGAGATATCGAAATACGTGAGTACAACTTACGGAAGGTTTCAATACCAGGACGAACTCCTGCCGCCATACGTGCCACTTTCCGCGGGATCAGCCTTCTAAGCATTGGCGCATTTCGAGCGTATTGTGTGAAAGACTGGCACCATAACGCACTCATTGGGCCATCTTAGTGTAGCCAAATATTGGAAAAGACTTGCGAGAACAAGATCGATACACACAGTCTATTTTCCGATTTCAAAGAAGTTATCTTTATGTCCCGATGTCTGAAGTTACCACCAAATATTATACGTCTGTGTAAAATGACGTAAAGCAAAGCCAGCAGCTCCGTTAAAATTGGAAAGACCTGCTCTGCAATGGAAAGATCAGGTGGAGCAGGGCTTGGCTTCATTTGGCATTTCCAATTTTCCGTCAGTTGGTACAGAAGAGAAACGACTGGCGTGCTTTGTTGAACTCGGCCAAAATCGCTTAGGTGCTTACAGCGCCTATCGAGAAGAGATGTATATTCAACTTACCACTTTTTAGGAAGAATTACTGCATCTGAAATAAAAGAAAAAAAAAATAAAAATTAACGCAAGTGAAATATATACTCACAGTTTTATCTAACATAAAAAATTTAAGTATCTAAATAATTACGTCCAGGACGAAAAATCGCAAGTTTTTTTGGGAACTTTCCAGTCCATTACACTATTTTGAAAATGGGAAAATTTTTGCAAGGGAAATGCATTTTCTAAGAGGAAAAATCGTTATTTCTGATGCGTTGATGCTGTTAAACGAACGATTTTCATTGAATAAAATTCACTCCAAAATAGGCCCTATTTTAAACGGAAAATGTCAGCTAAAAAGAATCTACTGCGCTAAACTAAAAAGGGATGAGAGTCTACAAGAGGGCGTAGCATCCCGCAGAGAACCATAACTTTGGAACCATAAGTCGTGTGAGACATAATCTTAATTTGAAAATTGGAGCGCATTTTATTCGTCGTGGAATAAATATGGTAGTAAAGAAAATGATGACTAATATATTTGAAGCAAAGAATTATAATGATCGAATGATTTTTGTTATATATTTGCAAGGTTTCTAAAGTTAAAATTATTTTATTATTTTTTATAAAGATATAGTTCATGCTTTAACCAAACCCTTATGCTAAATCAAACTTTATAATTACAGAGCTAAGAAAAATGTATAAAATTTTCATTAAACAAAGTATTAAAAATTAATGCGATTTTTCAGCCGCTTAAAGCTTGCACTTTTATTTTAATGAAAATTTGTTACATTTTTCTAAGCTTTAATTTAACTTTAAAAACCTTGCAAGTATTTAACAAAAATCACCGAGTACTCATTTCTGCTTCCCACTGTACTTACAAGTTCATTCTTGTTACAAATTTGATTTTAATATTTTTTTATAGGAATATTTATAGTTCATTCATAGCTCATTTATGCAATAATTTAAGACAAAATTCAACAAACCTTCGTAAAAATCTCGAGCTTTTTAATTAGATTTCTTAGAAAGATTTTGAGTATACACTTTTTAACTCATTTGATTCTAGTATAATAAAATGTCAGTTTCAAATGGCGCAAAAATTACAGTTGCACTTTTAGGTTTTTTTTTTTTTGTCGAAGATATTACTATTAATATTTTCTTAAACATAGGAGTAGTTAACTCAGATCAGTGTAGGTAGTGCAACGACGAATAGGAAACAACGGAGCATATTATGAGCATACACAGCACACGTCGCGAGGTTCCTTAGCAAGACGTGGATCAAAGAAGACCTGATGTCGAATAGAGCTTTTTTACAATACGCAGTCGCGGTAACTAGATGACCTGCACCCTCCTCCAAATCGAAAATAATCAAATCTACGTTTTTCTTCCACTTCAAAATAAATTGTGTTTATTCGTTATATGGAAGCAAATGCAACAAAAAAATATAAAAAATTAACGGTAATTTTTAGCTACTTCAGAACCTTGCATTTTACTATACTAGAATTTATTGGGCTACAAAACTGCGTACTCCAAATCTTTTTAAAAAATCTAATTAAAAAGCTTGAAACTTTTATCAAATTTTGTTGAATTTTTTTTTTCGCGAAGTTTATAACTTGTATTTACGCGGTTTAGAAAAACACCTGCTTTAACCACAGTCAGCATGTAGGATTGGGATGTTCGAATAGTGTTTATGCATCTGCATCACATCATAAAACTAAAAGTATTGTTCATAAGGGTGCCTGTAATTTATGCTAAACTGAAATTTTTTCTATTTCATATTTTTATTTGTTTACCCCGAACGGCGCACAGTGGTTTGAAATCTAGGTGAACAAAACTATTTGCTCAAAGACGCTTTGACACAATTCGATGCCACTTTGTTGCTATATGTTTTTTTTGACCTGGCTGAGTACATGTCTGAAGTCAGATTTCAAAAATTCTAAATCATGTATCCAATATGGCGAGCGTAAAAAAAGCACAAAAATTAAAAAAAAAAATCAGTGAATTATGTATATCAAAACAGGGTATTTTGGGGCTTTTGGTATCGCTGATTACGAATCAGTGAATCTAAATTTAGTTTAGAGATGGTAATATAAGGTAATTAGTTTTGTATAGTTGAAGTAGGAAACATTTTATTGTGAATCAAATTTTATTTTTATATCTTTCACGGATGAAAAAGTAGAAAATAAAAAGAGATTCAAATAGTGTTTGCATTTTGTTCTTATTATTTTGCACACAACTGTACATATGCGGTCATGTAATTTTAAAAGTAGTGATTTAACTGTGCAAATATAGCAATTATTTATAAGATAAAAATAATTACAAGCAATACTTAAATGAACATTTTGATAAAACAACTGTCATAAACTACAGCACTTGACTGATAAATAAAATAATAATAAAATAAAATATGTTTATACACAGCGATAATGCATATGCGTCACAATGACACATTTGTCTGTATGCAATCACACATGTGTAGATATGTGAATACATAGTATAGTACACATAGTACATAATATTATGAACATATAAAATAAACATCCAACTCTATTAACATCTCAAAGGCGACAGTATAAAATTAAAGGTGAGCACAAACAGTTGAATAGACAGTCAGCAAAGGCAGGTCGGCAGCAACGCGATTAATGCCAGTTATACGCTTTTACAAAGTTTATGGCCAACATTTTTCATGTCATTAATTCAGTGACAGCGTTGCGCTCATCATGAACGTCAAAAATCAACGTTAACGTCAATGTCTCAACGCGTCAACAGCTTTGTAAATGGTAAATGGTAAATGGCTCACGTCATTCATGAAAAATGGTGCTGTTGCTGTTGCTGTTGCTGGTGTCGTCGAGCGCTAAAACAACAACATGTTGTTGCAACATTATAATGAGAATAATTAAAATTCATTCAAATGGCTGAAAAGGCAGGTGCACACTCTGCATGCAGCGCTTAAAGGAAGTGCAGGTGCAAAACGTAAAACAACATTCATTCATACAACCAAACAAACATAAGTTGCCAACTACGTCAAAACTAGTAACTTTAGTTATGTATGTATATACGTAAAGTAGTCAGTCGGTTAGTCAATCATTCAAAGTTAATTACAACTACTGCACGTCCGTATGCATGCAAAACAAAACTATTAGGGCGGGTAAATTTTTTTTTTTTTTTTGATTATGCGCGCATAGCATAGAAAGATTCTACGTGTAATTCTAAGCAAATTTGCCGAAGAAACCATGGGTATAAAATCAATTTGGAGTTTGCCATATTGCGAAAATAGGCTTCGAAGAAAATGTGAAAATTTTCACTTTTGCGCCCTGTGGTGGAAGTTTTAAGAAAAAAATAATCGCGGAAATGAATTCCTAATACCAAAAAAGCCCTTATAGCATGTTTTTATACAAAATTCAAGCAGTTTTGCACGACCTACTGCAAAATGCTAAGAAACCTATTTTCGAAATTTGGCAAACTCCAAATTGTGTTTAGGCCCATGGTGGTCTTCGGCAAATTTGCTTATAATTACACGAAGAATCCATCTGTGCTATATGCGGATAGTCGACAAACTCTCCCATACACATTGACCCGCCCTAATGTATACATATGTATGTATGTATATCCGAAGCATGCTTCATTCAGTTAATTATGCATAGAAAATTGTGCAGAGTAAATTAACATTTTCCATTCATGGACTAACGCACGCATGCACGTATGCACACGCACGTATGCATACGCACACGCGCAAACCAGCGCATGTAAGCGAACATATAGCAACGCAGAATAGCGCGCCGCAGCAAAACTTTTTCAGCATTTTCCATTCAAAACAAAAATTAATATGAAATAATACGCATACATACATACATATGTATGTATGTACATAAATGAGAAAATATAATGAGGAAAATATTGAAATTAAATTCTGGACGTGCAATAATAACAGCTCAGCGCGAATGCAACAATCTGCAACAGCAGCCAAGAGCGTTAATAACAAAGACTGGAATGATTTTGCATATTTGCAGAGCGTTTCGTTTGGAACTTCAGAAGGAGGAGGCCGTTGAGGAGGAGCAGCCGCAAACGTTTATGCCGCTTTTCACGTCTCGCTACACAGCCAGTTCACGCTCATGCAACGCTTAACTTTGCTATCGTGGCAACCAGTGTAAGATTTGCCAACATTATTATCACCATAACTAAGTTTGTAAACTGTTGTTGGCTATACATACCATGATCGTTAGCGCCATAGCCGCAATCATCGATGCCACAGCCACAGCCACAGCTTTAGCAGCTTGCAGCTGTAGCACAACATCCCTGCAGTGAAAAGGCAAACCAGTTAGAAAAAAAAAATACCAGTTCATTAGCTAGTATGTGCGTACGAGTTCGACAATTTCGCAGAACTTCGTCGCGTTCAGGGACATCTGCATTTGAATGGCCAAAGCTAAAAATAAAACGCAATTACATAGTTGCTTTTCTTATAAATGTCGGATGTGGCGTCACGTGAAGACAACTGATTCTGGTTCTGAGGTCGCAGGTTCGAGGTAGCTTGGAGGTGGTTAAGATTAAGATTAAGTAAAGTTGAATTAATGAAAGTAAAAAAAATTATTTCAATTTAAATATAAATAACAAATTTGAAGATCTCATTGCATTGCAGAAGAAACATGCTTATGGGAAGAAGAAATGCTTGGCCATAAAAAAAAATGTTTAATATTTTTTTGTTAAATTTAAAAAATTACAATAAAAATCCTAAATAAAACTATAATAAAAAAAATTTATAATTAAAAAAAAAATTTGCTAAAAAAATATAAATAAAAAAATATAATAAAAAAAGTTTCCTGTGTCAGGACTTAAACCTGGGACCTCAGTCATGCCACGCGAGTGCTTTGCTCTTTTGGCCATTGCTACTTTTGGAGCGCCGTGAGCAAAAATGCTTTTCACCGGGGTTGAATTGGCAGATTATATCATCAACTGGTATGATGCTTCTAGTATTTCTACTAGTAGATGCTGATGCATAGCTTGACAATTGAAATCTCGTAGGTCATCGCCATGTTAAAAATAGCAGTCGCTAACATTGCC